AGTATAGGGTGCCAATTTATAAAAACTGTGAAAGCTATCACAGGTATCTGTCTATCTAATGTTTCAAACAGAACRTCATTTGACATTTTTTCAACTCTACTATCACTTGTTAAATATTTGCACATACTTTGAAATCACCCTGTAYATACATGAATTTTGATTTTTCCTCACTAAAATGGAATATTTTTTCATTTGTGTATAGTATTTTTAGTGAATAACTTGTAATGAAATATGTATGTATTATAAAATTCATGGTATCAAAAAAAAAGACAGAAAAACATTGGTGGCAACAAGGTTAAAGACAAAACAACGACAACTGAAAAAAGTTTCTTACATTTCTTGCGTTGTCAAATCATGCTTTTGACGTAAACTTTCTCTTGTGATGAAACAAATAAGATGCCATGTTAATTATACAGCAAGCGAAAGATGGAAATTGTAATAATGGATCACAACTATTTTTTTATAATTAACGACCGAAATGCTTATATCTATGTCTTACGCAGGCTTGGATATAGGAAATTAACATGGGAAATTAGTTTTTATTTTTTTCCGGCTGCAGGAGTAACAGAAATCAAAGTCTAATTGATGGAGCTTGTAGTGCTCGAAAAGAGCTATCTYATCGWCATTTTTGTCGATTCTACAATTAACTCCATTTGGGCRAAAACGGCCCTCGAAAAATCGAAATTTGAATTTGCCGCGTTAGCGTTACTAAGAAACGAATTATCAAGTCATTGTTGCCAACAGGATACTATCTTTATTATGATTTTCAGCAAGGAATACATTTTAAATATTGATTTTAGTTTTGTAGTGTTCAGAAATTAAACAAGRGTAAARATTCTAATATCGTARCAAAAAATTCACAAACATGATCTAGAAAAAAAAATTAGGGCATCTTTCTCCTCGGAGTCTCGGGGTTTTTAATCTCATGCAATGTATTTGATCGTCGATCGAAGTTCAGATCTAAAAATCAGATTTTAGTCCACCGATGCTAAAATAACGATTACTTACTGTATGATGTTTGTGAACGTGTTTTTTTAGCCTGTTGATGGATTTCTATGCGTGTTTGATACAATTCTAAGGAAGAATACGATGAAAATGATTCTCAATTTCACACCATCAACATAACCCCCAATTTTTTCGCTTAACATCTCACTCTAATTTCTAGTTTGCAAATTTTGCGGTTTCATGAAAACCATTTCACTCAATTTTCGATCTGTTTTTTGCATAAACAACCTTCACAAATCAACGATCAACACAGTGTATTAATTCAATCGATGATCGAAAGTTTCATCCTAAAGATTAGAATTTTTAATTTTTATCAAAGGAAGTGTAAAAAAAAATAAACGTTACTAACTGCACTCATTCTTTTCGACCTCTGATGCAGTATTTTGTAATTTTGGTCCAATTTATAGAATAAAGTGTGGAAAAATGTTTAACTTCACAATTTCAACTATAATCTCACATGACTTGTCACTTCAATAATGCAAGCAAATTTTACTTTGGCTTGAAAAGCATTTTCATTCAATTATTGATGTGTTTTATTGGAAAATCAACATTTTCCAAAAACATTCAGAAAACACAATCATTGCAAGGGTTTTTAGCTGACAAAGTTCCTGTTGGCAATAATGACTTGATAGTTCGTTTCTTAGCAACGCTAACGCGGCAAATTCAAATTTCGATTTTTCGAGGGCCGTTTTCGCCCAAATGGAGTTAATTGTAGAATTGACAAAAATGTCGATAAGATAGCCCTTTTCGAGCACTACAAGCTCCATCATCAATTAGATTTTGATTTCTGTTATTCCTGCAGCCGGAAAAAAATAAAAACTAATTTCCCATGTTAATTTCCTATATCCAAGCCTGCTTGGGACACCCGGTATACTTTATACAGGGACAATTTTTTAACCCTATGTTCAATTTGAAAAAATACAGATCAAGGCATTGCTTCAATGATAGAGACTCATAGCGTGTCTACAATTTAAGAGAAACAAAAAAAATGTGTTAATTAAATGAAGATGATGACAATACAAACAGAAAAATTACAGGCAGATAGAATATTTTATAGTAACAAAACAGTAACAAAAGCCACACATTTTTTAAAAATGACATCAAGACTTTAGACAAGTYACACTGTCACGAGTTTGGCTATTTTTCAAAAGATTTGTGGAGACTTCTGTTCTGAGTTATAATAATAATAAAGGTCTTTTTTATATGCAAAAAAAAAATAAACAATAAAATAAAATACATAAAAAAATTAAAATTCCTAGGAGTTATAATAACAAAATATAAATTTCATAAATTTTTCTGAAACTCAGAGTCCTATTTCTCAATAATTTGATGATGTGGCTTATCACGTTTTTACCGTAAGCCCTTTAACTCTGTCTTTAACGGTTTTAGTCTCGCAGACAGCTAAAGAGTGACGAAAATCGCTTGTACTTGTGGTGGCGTGTGTAAGAAGCTATTTAAACCCAAATTATTAAAGATCGTGTCGTAGACTTTTTTAAAACAAATTTAATYCTCTACAACTTTGTTCTTTACACTTTTTTTATCTTTTATGGTATGTGCAGCGTTCTCAAACAAAKTTAAAAACATGAGGCGAAGCAAAAATTTCTGTTATATTCATTATTTTAAAATATAGTTTTCAGGAAATTTTTGCTATATCTTCATTTTTTACTGTRAAGTATTTAATATTCTATCTAACATCTAACATTTTCTGTTTGTGTTGTCATCATCTTTATTTAAATAAAGTAACATTTTATGTCATTGCTCTTAAATTGTAGGCACGCTACTAAAATTATTATCATTACATCGCAGTAATGCATTGATATATATTTTTTTTATTGAACATAGAACATAAGGCTATGTTCAGAATTAAAAAAATGTCCCTGTGTATACTACTATATTTTTACAATGCCATAATTTGCCAATGCTTTTTTTAGGGGTGCATACTTAAATTTAAAGTATATGTAGATGTTTTAAGTTTTTGGTGTTTTTTTTTTTAGCCAATTGTGGTGTTGAATCGCGCCATTAATTCGCAATATCTAGTTCAGTGTGATGTTATCACAAAATTGTTCATGTTAAGGGGCAGTTACACTTAAGCAAGTCCGGCGTGTCCTGGCGATTCTATAAATTGGCTAAGATCAGATCACACATTCGTTCGTCTCACATTCATTAACAGCAATCAGATATCCAACGGAACGAAAGATATTGGAGTAAGCGTCTCCGAGTGCAGCGCTTCGGCTGGTAGCGAGCGTGGAGCTTTTTAAGGATTCCCGGAATTAATTGCGCTATCCTGCGCAAGTTGCAGGTGCGCGTGACAGACAGACACGGTGCTGATAAGGCGGGCATTAGATAGCGACCGCGAGGAAATACGCGACGGCGTTCCTCTTCGTGAGATACGGCTGCTCACACAACGAATACCTTATACGAGAAATATGCGCTCAAATGAAAGACAATGGTGCATAAATCAGGCGACCTCGACGGACCATGCCATGTATTGTTCGGGTTCAGGACGAGCGCTGAAGTCGGCTGACTAACATACGGAAAAATGTTATCTAGTCTAACACTTCCGGATTAGAAAAAGGCCAATGGAAGTGCACGTAGTGCTCGAAATATGAGCGGTCTTGGACCGTAACGATCTAATAAAAGCACGACGGAACGTTTTTTCTCTTCATTAACCTTTACAATTTCCATAGTTATATCGTGCAAACAGAACGGTTATTAATATAGACGATTGTGGGAAAAATAATAGAAACAAACAGTTGATGATGGACAATATCTTACGGAAGATTTGATGCAATAACATCATGTCGTTCTTTAGCGTCCCTTAGCAATTTAATCGAGCCATTACTAACACTCCCGTTCTTTCTGTACGTCCCTAGTCCAGCTTACGACGTCCATATTGCATTGTTACTTGATACCAGACAGAATTTACAACCCCATTTGGCTTTGTCCACACACGGGTATTCACTAACAACACCACACCGATAAAACCACCGGCCTTGTTGAATTACCTAAAAATTTCCCTAACTTGATCAACCCTCGTCTTGGAAACATCGCACAAAGGCACGCGAGAGTGATGGATTTTTTGCAAACTTTCCGTGTGTTTGTGTTAATTTATCTTACATGTTTGAGATTTACGAAGTCTTCATCGGTGTATAGCGTCCCGCATGCAAGATCGCCGCCGTTAGCTGTTTGGTGGTGTGTAATTTTCGTATTTGCATTCGCGTATTAAGGTGGTCATAAATCTCTGGCAGTATCGTTTGCACCGGTCTGCGTATTTCTTTCCAACACGGCGGAAAAGAAATGCAAACATGAATGTGAACTGACCCATCAATTATGAGCAACACCTGGTATATACAGAGACGATGAAAAACGTGATAGTTCAAGGCAAACTGCAGATGTCATTTCTTGAATGATTTAATGGAACTGCCGCAATAAATTAATCTTTATTAATGTGTTACGTTTGATTAAAGTCGTTTCTCATGGAAAGTCGCGTAGTGTTCACATTTAACTTGTGTAGATGTTGGATAAAAACAGGCTCCAAGTCTTGACAACATTAATAATACGTGGACGCCAAAAATTGATTTCTGATAATTGAAATGATTAAAAACTTTGTCTGAAAGCAATTTAATCAAAGTTGAGACAATGGTCTTTTGATTGCGAGTCAAAATTCCGAGCGGTTGTCAATCAACCGTGGGTCGACTTCATTAAGAAAGTTATAACAGAAAGAGGAAACAATGTGATCCAGACCAATGATAAATTAAAATAAGTAGTGTGCACGCTGCGAAAATACAGAGCAACACGACATTTGATTACGATATTGTTTCGAAAACTCGTGATGATGCGATCTCATTTCCAGATATACCTATTTGGTTCGAAAGTTGCAGTTGCAATTCTACATCTGTTTCACTATATAAAGGTTATTATATGCTGGTGCTGGCTCGATCGTATCTCTACCGCTCGAAATTCTCTCACCGAATAACGGAAATATTCTTTTGCAGGGGAAGGTGGCGAGGAAGGCTCGCCGGAAGAAGGCGATAAATTGGAAGGCGACGAAGACAACGGCTCTATGACTCCCAATTCGGTCGCCTCTCCCGTACCRCCCGAAGAAGAGGCTACCTCTCCGACACCTGGCGATGTCCCCACTCCCTCTAGTCCACGCTCTGTCAACGAAGATCCTCTCAACTGCAGGTAATTGCACAACCTCCCAAACCTTCAGCAATCYCTYCATAAATTACACTTGTTTATCTAACTTCTCAATGGAGCCGCAGTTTGATAATGCAACGTTTCCGCTTTCCTCTTCAGTCTCACTCGAAACTTTCTCATATTAACCGACTTTATTCTTTGCAGGGATTTACCGAATTCCCGTTGCAATTCTCGCGAGTCATCGGATTCTCTAGGGCAGCCCCGCTGTCCATCCGGCGAATCGATGCTTTCGGAGCGTGCAGCTCTGTTACGGGGCGTCCCGATCGGGGCCTCGGCACTGAGCCCCGTCGGGGTGACCCTTCCGCCCACTCTTCCAGCGGCGGCGGCCGCGGCTTTATTGCCACCTCAGACCGCTGCCATGGCGGCTTAYCTCAACGCGGCGGCCGTGGCGGCGGCGGCCCAACAATCCCATCGTCTCATGATGACATCGCCGTCTGGCTTCAACAGGGCCTCAGTCTCACCGCTGATCTCATCTTCGTCGTCGCCGCCAGGAGTCTTTCCCGTTGACGCGCCAATGCACTCTCCGCCTGGTGACGGTATTCTTGACTTTAGTAAACGTGGCCAAAAAAGTGACGCTGATAGTGACTCTGACGTGGTTAATCTTAGCAAGCCAGGGACTCCCCCGAGCGGCGAATCCGGGAACGGCCCTCTTGATCTGAGTGTGAGCAGCCGGAAGCGCTCTAATGAGGACTCCGTGTCGCAGCCGCCGAATCGCAAACCGCGAACTGATTTTAAACCGCAGGTTTTGCCTCAGTGGCCCTCGCCGATCGGTGCTTCGCATTTACCGTATTTTGCTGCTGCCGTTGCCGCCGCGTCGAATTTGTCACCAAAAACAAACAATTCGTCCGACTTGTGGAACGGCAAATTGAAACACGGGGCCCCCACCCCGAGCGACGCTACCAAAGCGTTGGAAAAAATGAGCGAATTAAGCAAACTCGGCGGCGAGGACTTATTCCGTACTATGGCGAACGCCGCCCCAGGAAATTCCGCCGGTAACAGACATAGTGCTTGGCAATCGCACTGGTTAAATAAGGGCGCCGAGCAAGCAAAAGATGTGTTGAAATGCGTCTGGTGCAAACAAAGTTTCCCGAGTTTAGCCGCGATGACGACTCACATGAAAGAAGCGAAACATTGCGGCGTCAACGTTCCCGTCCCTCCGATGCAATCACAAATCATGAATCCTCAACCTCAAATAACATCGCCTTCAAACACAAACACAAGTACCTCTTCTACTAATTCGAACAAACCTAATTCATCCGATCTCAACATGTTGATCAAAGAAACAATGCCTCTGCCACGAAAGTTAGTTAGGGGACAAGATGTGTGGCTGGGCAAGGGAGCTGAACAAACAAGACAAATACTCAAGTGTATGTGGTGTGGTCAAAGCTTCAGATCTTTGGCTGAAATGACGAGTCACATGCAACAAACGCAACATTACACAAATATTATCTCGCAAGAACAAATTATTTCGTGGCGGTCGTCGGATGATGCGAAAGGGGGCGGCGGAGGGAGCGGCTCAGGTAACAACCAACCACCGGGAGGACCGAGCAGTCATGTTAGTGCAGTTCTGACTTGCAAAGTTTGTGATCAAGCTTTCAGTTCTTTGAAAGAATTGAGTAATCACATGGTCAAAAATTCACACTATAAAGAACACATAATGAGATCGATTACTGAAAGTGGGGGTCGCAGAAGACAGACGAGGGAAAAACGCAAAAAATCTCTCCCCGTCCGAAAACTACTAGAATTAGAAAGAGCCCAACACGAATTCAAGAATGGTGATAGCAGCAGTTTACTCGARAAAATGCGTGATCCTTCAGGAGCTGGAAGAATTACTTGCGAAAAGTGTGGCAATAAAATTGACACGTCTTTGTTTGTAGATCATATAAGACAGTGTGTCGGAGGAGGAACCATAGGAAGCAATCAGAGAAATTTTCTTAAAAACGCACTTATGTCAAATAATATTTTACCACCAGAAAGTCCAACTAGAGATAAGTCGAAACAAAATGAAAAGTCTCCTTCACCCCAACAACGGTCACCTTCAGTCACTGATTTAAGTACCAACAAGGACGGTACGACCGTTCCAGAAAATAATAACGGTTCTTCTCCTTCTGTTCTCAACGCCATCGAGAAATTAATTGAAAAAAGTTTTGATTCACGATCTCGACAAAATTCGTCTTTCCCCGGTCACGGTCCAACTACAGCTCCTATGGGTTCTAGTATTTTAAAACGATTAGGAATTGACGAAAGCGTCGACTATACCAAACCATTAGTAGACGCACAAACCATGAATTTGTTACGAAGTTATCACCAGCAACAAAGTCATCATTACGGTAGACGGGAACGCAGTGGGAGCGAATCGAGTTCAATATCAGAACGTTGTAGTAGTCGAGTAGAGTCTTTAACACCTGAACGCAAAATGGAACCACCGGGAGTACCACTGAACAGTACTCCCAGATCCACCCCCGACAAAAGGGAAAAATCTCCGACTTCCGATAAAGCACAAGAAACGGAAGGCGAAGTCATAGTGAAAAAAGAGGTTAATGACGAGGAACGACTTGAGAATCACACTAGTGTTAAAATTAAACGTGAAGCTGAAGATCGTGATGAAGACGAGCGCAGTTTTCACAGTAACGGTGCCAAGGAGGAGGACGAGACGAAGCCTTCGGTGACTCCYTTGTCCAGTCCTCGACAGGCTGYAGAGACCCACGCAAGCAGTCCCTGTCGGAACAGTGCTAGTCCAGCCAGTAGCGACCGCTCGGGCACTCCTCGTAGCACCAACGGTGATAGGAAACCGGGCGGTAGCTTGGGGGCGTTGAGTTCAATGTTCGATARCTTGTCCGGAAACAACACTAGTGACGCGTTAGCGCCGTCAGGTGGCAAAAAGGGCTCGAGTCATCCATTAGCAGCCTTACAAAAATTATGTGATAAGACTGAAACCCACACAAACAACCGCACACATTCTGCAACATCCAATTCGAGTGTTAACGCCAACACGAATAATATTCCAACGAATAGCGGGACGACTCCTGGTGCAATTTTGGCCTTCAGTTGGGCCTGTAATGACGCGGTGATGACCTCGGATTCGATAATGAAGTGCGCGTTTTGCGACACGCCGTTTATTTCAAAGGGGGCGTATAGACACCATTTGTCGAAGATGCACTTCGTGAAAGATGGAGTTATTCCCGATCCGGTGGCGCTCAAATCGTCGCAGCAGGGGTCGAGTTCGTCCAGTGAGGGGGTGCCGTTGAAAGGCACTGCTGTACCGCCGCCGAGCGGGTCCAGTGGCCCCGGGTCGACCGGGAGCAAGAGTCCGCCGGTGGCGGGATTCGAGGAAAGCCCGCATTCGAAGTTCTTGAAATATACAGAGTTAGCTAAGCAGTTGTCTAGCAAGTATGTGTAAATATTGTGCGTGTGCAGAACATTCCTATTTTGTAAAGTATAGTCTCGAAGGCATAACCGCTTTGAGCGGTTTAATATTGTGATGTTATCATATCGTCAACCATAGTAATAACGGTAGCTATAGTGATATTACATTGTAAATTCATAGCGGAACTACAAATTCTCAAGTGATTATGATTGTTATACGAATTTTAAGTCACAAAAATCCTGTAAATAGTACCGATAAGTCAGTATTGTAAGATGTATACTTTTGAGGGGGCGGCCACCGTCGGTCTGTTTTTGCCAACAATTTATTTACTTATAGTTGTGAGCACGTTTCAAGCTAGTTGCGATGGACGGTGGTAGCGAACCGGTGCCATTTCGGCCCTTTGACGTTTAGAAATTTAAAGTGAAACTAAATTAGTTGTTGGTAAAAAAATAAATCGTACTTTTGGGAGTATTGAAAATTCGTATTAAAAAAATTGTAGATGTGGTACCATTGATTTCATTCATCATGGAAAAAAACCTATTTATTAAGTACGAATATTGTAAAAGTTTGAAATGAAATTACACAAACACTACGTATACGTATATCGTAAATATCTCATCTTCCAAGAAAGTTTTTAAATAAATATTTATCAATAATTATACTATACTGAATAATACAAAAGATGTATACGCATTAGCTGATATTCATGGCAAAGCTCCTTTATGTTATTGAAAATTTTTAAACTTTATTTAATATTTTGTTGTATTTGAACGCAATGAAGGCTCAAATAAATATATGTTATGAACAATACGTGTATCTTTTTTCCCAATGTATCAGAAAGACAAAACACTAGAATCAGAATTTTGAGTCATAAATTAAAAAGGTAAGTAAGAAACTGACAAAAATTAACTATTTTACCTTGCTTAAAATTATAAGAAAAAAAAATTCAGCGTTTTGAAGGTTTGCTGAGTTTATTTTCCGTTCTAAAAGAGCAAAAATACAATTTCTAAAATTATTTTAAATTTTCTAAAATTAAGGCTAACGTGAATAGCTTAGGTAAAATGTGTCATATTTAATGAAGCAGTTAAATGAGCACGTCCTAACTGGCTTTTAAGTAATGAAATAATTGTATAATTGATGACTAGACGTAAAACGATGATGAATCGACAGAATACATCAGCATTTTTCTTAATCAAAAGACAAATTAATCTAAATTAAAAAAGATTGCTTTCTATTTGGTATTTCTTATTTTTCATTAAATAAACGTCGAGATCAAAAGGAAACTAACCAAGCTGATATCTTCAATTAAGGGTAATTTTTCAAAAAAAAAAGATAAAAGTCATTAGAACAAAAAAAATCCAATTAACATTTTGATTCTATTCCTGTTCCTGCTTTTTGAAAACTTCTAATCTCGTTCTAACAACTCACATATCTATGTTACCGTAAATCGCCTGGTTTCGGTCATTCACATACGGCTGGATTATTAAAAAAACACTCCAATAACACCATTATTTTTAAAGATATGACAATAATTCTTTGATCACAGTTAAACAGTTTATTAGGAGCATTTTTTTGGGATAGACGCTCTCGATTAATAAAAATAGATGACAAGGTGACAATATACTGTGCAACTTTGTTCCAAGAAGCATTGTTATATCTTCAAAAATAATGAAATTATACCTTGGGGTGTTTTTTTATAATCCATGCTGTATAACACCATTAAATCCGAACTTTAGCAATTTCTTTACTTTATTCTGCATAACTACTTATGGTACAATGAAAGATCGAAACCGTTTTCAAGAATAATGAGTTAGATAAAAGAGAAAAGTTCAGGAAGTCAAGTTGTATTGAACTACAATCGGATTTGATCAAATTTCTCTTAATTCTTTCCAGTCTATACTTTCAAATAATAATCAATTATGACGAAACTATCATATTTCAAGTTGCAAATAACAAAAAAAATATTTCAACAACGGGTGCTCAAAACAGGTGACCTCTTTTAGCGCTAAAATCCTAGACCAATTTCGTGAAGCTCCTATCATATCCTATCATCTTTGTTCATCTCCGAAAACGTGATGATTTCATTCTTTTAAGTTTTTTAAACCCGCGACACGTTGTTCCCAAATCACCGGAAGACATTGTTGGAAAAGTTCGCACCTTTTGTTGGTCTCCATATTTTCTTAACAGACCGTCCCATAATATCCGCAATAAAGATATCAACAAGTGCCTAATTTAAGATTAATCACACACCTGGCTTTTTGACGTGAACAATGCCTACCTTATTCTTCTGTGATAGTTTACAGGATGTAAAATGAACGGAATAATATGGCGTGTTATTTTCTCGACTTGGCCCTCTTGGCGTGCGTAATTACCATGTGTAAATAAGTTTCTGAGACGTTATCGTTTGATAAACGGAAGCATCTTTACGACCACTGAAAAAATACTACAAAGATGAAGAGATGCATTCATTGATGATTATTAAAGTACCCGCATTTTATGGTCTAAAAAGTGTAAACAATGTCTAATAATACAGCTAGGTAGCTGTGTAATAAGCAATAAACTGTGATAATATAATATSCAAATGTATTTGTGGATATTTGTAGTTGAAAATACATGAAGAAAATAATTATACTAAAAAAGAAAGATCGTTAATGTGTATGAATTTAATTTTCGTAGAGATCAAAGTTCAAACAAGTTAATWTTATTATAAATAAATATTTATACTTAAGTAACTGTAAACAAAAAAAAACATGTAAAGTTGAAATATTTTGCAAGTAAAAAAGATTTTTAGATATATTTATTATTAATGGTAGACAGGAGGTGTAATCTAGCCTTCCTTCTAATTATTATAAATTTTACTGTTGCTCTATAAACTGTCAGAGTGAATTATCTGATGTGATAATGTGTTTCATAAATTCAAAAAAGTTGAAACCATGAAGTGTAAAGGGTTAAGCTGAGGCGATGCTGTCACGGGTTATCTATTCAAATCCACGCATGCAGGAAAGCTCACCTATGACACTATTAAAATGACACATTCACAGTCGATCATTGTTACAAATTAATTGAGGTGTCAAAGTCCTTCTATAAATTTGCAAAACAGCCTTTTTCTCTTTCTTGCGATTCCCCACTAGCTTTCGGGCATTAGCATGAGGTAGAAATAAATATTTACCCCAAAACTTAATTCTAAAGAAGCAAATAAATTTAATTTCCCCCGAATCTGCAGAATCCGTCTTATCATCGTTTGGTCGGAGAGGGCTGTGAAATCGCGACAGTTTGAAGATGGACGGTGAAGGAACAAGCAAAGTCAAAGCCGGAATTGTTCCGGGAGTTTAATAGTACTGTTCCCTTTCCACGATTCCACTAAGACCGACAAGGACGATCGTGGAAAATCTTGGTATTTTAGTCAATTGGATGGTTTTCTGGGGCGATACGGCACGCCGTAACGCGTCTTTCTCTCGAGATTTGTGTCTCTGGAGTTCACAATGGCTGATCGTTGAAGTATTTACTGCTCCGGCCCGTATGGAACAGGCGCTGATAGCCCCAGTTGCAAATCACCGTAATGTTCCTCTGTGATGCCGCGCACCGCGGCTTAAACGCCCTCAAGAAACCCTTTCGATAGCGCACGTCAGCTCTGATTAACTTATGGCTTTCTCCAACAACATTGTTCCACCGCAAACAACATAATATGTATCAAATATTAAAAAAAGTCGTAGTCTGATTTAGGAAATACGGAAATTCTGCATGTCCCCAGAGGCAGAATAGGATAGGCTGAAGCCTAGGGCGGCGATTAGTGACACAAAAAATTGGAGAAAAGAGAGGGAGGTAGAAGAGCTAGAATGTATTATTTTAATATTTTATTAATAAATTCTTGGTGGTCAATTTTTTACTCGATAATTATTCAGTTTAAAAGCGACAATTAATAATACTTTATTGATTAATAAGTATCTAGTTTTAATAAACATGCTCCAACTTCTGCTTTAAAAATCGACGAGATTATTATATGTAAATGGAATGAGTAAGATGGCAATAAAATAAGAAAAAAGTTTTAGTAAATTAGAACTTGCCTCATTTCGGCAGTTAATAACACATAACATTTTTTGCACCAATTTAATTATATTTGATTTGACTGATGAAAGTACCATGAAACATATACTTCGAATTATGCCGGTTTTTCCAAAAAGCATACTCGTACTAATATTAAATTAAAAAATAAATTTGTATTGAGCCAAATATTTTGACTTTGAAATTTATTGCCTTTGAATGGTGCCGCAATGTGGATAATCATTGCGCCATCAATGTCGTAAAAATTTGTTTGTAAAATTTTGTTTAAACAATGAATTAGTGAGTGATAAGTAACAGAAGACCGACGCTTCTGTCGGCACATATAGCAATGTTTGAGGAGCGGCCGCAACGGCGGCGTCTGCAAATACTCTGACGCCCATTTAGATAATAAGAGTAGATTTAGAGCCTTTTCGGCTTACATCACATGGCGGTCCCATTCCCGTTAATTTATGGATATAGCATCGGTCCCCTTTTGCAGTTTTAACCACTAAACTTATGTGCACATAGATAGCCGACATCAGCTACGACGGCACGTTTTTACTGAGCGGATGTATGCCACCAAGTAATAAAAAGTATGTTGCGGAATAAGGATTGTGTGTACAAAGCTCAAATAAGCGGCTTAATAATAATTGACGAAATGGTGGCAGTTGGTAGTATTGTTGAACTATAACTTGATTAAATTGACRAAATTTGTGTCTCACTTGACACACATTGTTACTGTAGAATAATCAAGCTGTACATTTATATTTACAGGTGAACATAAAGTTGGAATCAAGTGTTTTTGTTTAAACTAGTTATTATCTGAAAAAAATGAGCGAATGTTAGAGTACTTCAAAAAAGTAAATCGTTTTTCAAGAACCGGTATAATTTTTGGAAATTATTTTTTGTTTTTGACTTCTCCAAAACTGTGAAAACTGTTTTTGGCAAAGACTACGTTTTACATGAAATCAAACAGGTGAATTAAAAAAATCTTAGTTCCATAATTTTTGTTCCGCCTGTAGGTATAGTCGCTGGGAATTATAAAATTGGTAACTTAGTTGGTAAGAAAAAATGAAAATATAGAAGTAAATTAGCTGGCAATAGATACTTACATGTAAGTAAGTGTCAAGTGGCTACAATTAATCTCAACTTTGTCCTGGATTTATAGCAAGCAGCTTTATCACTGGTTTGAATTATACGCGCATGACACTTTAATTTGGATAAATTCCATGTTTACGCATGACTTGGCTTAACTTATCCAAAGTATGAAATGTAAGYAGCTGGAAAAGCTCAAGAAACAAATGTATAAACTTGAAAAAGTAACCAAAACAGCGATCACATAAATACGTATGTAACCAAACTGAATGTTGGTTTGTCAATTGACCAAAAATTTATTTAGCAAACAAAAATGATACCAAATATTGATCATTATGAAGCAAATTCATCATTAGTATTTATTGAATTAATTTTTAGCCGTTATATTTTAGGTTCAAATATTTACATACAATATGGAAATGAATGTGCCGTTTAAATTTATTTTAATTATTAATACATTTTTAGTTGCCAATCATAAGACATAATCGATCAGTAAAAATGCAAACGAATTCCCTTTAATAATGCGTTTCATGTTTTTGGACATTATTTGCATAAACTGTCACTGTACTGTAATAGAAATTACATTGCACAATTAGCATGTATGACTCGACAAAAAATATTTTTCTGTCCGATGTTAATTTTTTCGAATAAAGGTGATGGTGATTGTGGAAT